CGAGGAAGAAGTTCTCGATCCTGAAGTGCCATACCTCAGTGCCATAGGAGCGTTAATGTACTTGGCTAGACACACTAGACTAGACATTTGTTTTGCCGTGAACCTCCTATCGAGATTTAGCTCATGTCCGACCCAAAGGCACTGGAACGGAATTAAACATCTTTTACGTTATTTACAAGGAACTGTTGATTTGGGTCTATTCTATACTAACCATAACAAAGAAGGTTTAGTTGGTTTTGCTGATGCAGGTTATCAATCAGATCCGCATAATGGTAAGTCACAAACATGTTATGTGTTTACACACGGTGGAACCGCGATTTCGTGGCGTTCAATGAAGCAAACCATCTCAGCCACTTCATCCAATCACGCGGAGATCTTGGCAATACATGAGGCCAGCCGTGAGTGTGTGTGGTTGAGGTCGATCACTCAACACATACGATCTAATTGTGGCATGGACGATGAGAAGGGACCAACGGTCATGTACGAGGACAATGCGGCCTTCATCGCTCAGCTCAAAGAAGGTTACATCAAGGGAGATCGGACGAAGCACATCCTACCTAAGTTCTTCTTCACACATGATCTACAAAAGGATGGAGAAGTTCAAGTGGTGCAGGTCCGATCAAGTGACAATTCAGCCGACCTATTCACTAATGCATTACCAACATCGACATTGAGGAAGCTCACGCATCAAATTAGAATGCGGAGACTTAAGGACTTTCAGGGATGACCAAAACAGGGGGAGTAATACGTGTTGTACTCTTTTTCCTTCACCATGGTTTTGTCCTAATGGGTTTTCCTGGTAAGGTTTTAATGAGGCAGCATCCCCAAGCGTATTACTGAGATCCTTTGGCATCTACACGGTTATGTCATCCAAGGGGGAGTGTTGTAATCTTGCATTTGCCACTAATCTACTTGCAAGATATAACTCATCCCCTATCCACAGACATTGGAATGAGATAAAACACATCTTCCGCTATCTTCAAGGTACGATTGATCTAGGATTATTCTATCCTATAAACTCTGCGTTTGGTCTAGTTGGTTTTGCAGATGCAGGATATTTATCGAATCCGCATAAATCTCGATCCCAAACTTGATACGTTTTCACAATTGGAGGAACTGCAATCTCGTGGCGTTCTCAAAAACAGACTTTGGTCGCCACCTCTTCAAACCATGCAGAAATGATTGCGCTTCATGAAGCCTACAGAGAATGTATATGGCTCAGATCTATGACGAACCACATGCAAGAAGCAAGTAGAATAGTCACCAGTAAAGAGCCGACAACATTATTCGAAGACAATGTTGCATGTGTCACCCAAATAAAAGAAGGTTACATCAAGAGCGACAAAACGAAGCATATTCCTCCAAAGTTTTATACACTCAAAAACTCGAGAAAAACAAAGAAGTTAATATCCAGTATATCCGCTCAAATGACAACGCAGCAGACCTGTTTACAAAGGCGCTGCCTACGTCAACATTCAGAAAGCATTTTCACAGTATTGGAACGCGTCATTTACGAGATCTTCAAAGATAAGACTATACTTATCTTTTCCAGGGGGAGATTGTATTACTGTACTCTTTTTTCCTTGTCATGGTTTTTATCCCAATTGGTTTTTCCATCATAAGGTTTTTAACGAGGCAGTACACAATAATATGTAATTAACGAAGAGTGTTAAAATAGGATAATTACATTTATCATTATCACTTTATCCCTTTTTCTCCAAGTAGCTTGGCTCCCAAATTTTCATCCTCTATAAATACCTTTCATTTGATAAGTAGAACTAGATTTTAACCCGCGGTACATCGCGGGGCTATATTTTCTTAAAAAAATCAAAATGTAATTTGTTTGATAGATTATTTTGATTGTTAATTTTAGGATTTCACCCGTGGTATACTATCTTTTATAAATATCAACCCAAACCCGTCCCATCATATTACCCGTCCCGTGAAATTAAACATCATTTAGTTATTTTTTTTTTAATAATACTTTTATTTAAAAGCTATATAATTCAAGTCAATTTAAAAATTTCTTTTAAATGGTTCCCATAAGATATATATACATATATATTAAATTTGTATAGAGTTGAAATAATATTAATATTACAAACTTTTTATATAATTTAAATATTATAAATATTTTTAAAAATATGCAATATATATTTTTTGTTATTGAATAAGAGGATATTATGTGTAAGAAATGTAGAAAATAAGAGTTTAATATTTTTATTATGGAGTCGCAAGAAAAATCTTTTATTTCTATACATGTTATTCGTTTATTAATAATAAAAGAAAACAATCCTTTAAATTAGATATTAACTAAAATAAACGCACCATAATTATTTATTAAGTAACAACCAATAAATTTCACCAAAAAATAGGTAACAACCAATAAATTCTAAACGCAGTAATTAAAGAATGAGATATTAAAAAAAATATCAAATAAGATATAAGAATCTTAAAATAATTGAATATCTAAATAATTTAATTGTTAGTATCGATTTTAATGCCTTCATTAATGTGGATTTTTTTTTTACAGAGAAATATTTCCTAAAGATTATCACATTAATGACTCAGAAAATTAAGGAAGATATGAATTTATGATTCTCGAAATCGTGTTGGTAATATCTTTAATTAATATTTTTCAAATTTAAATAATTAATGCCAATGGCATTCATCCGTAAATACATTCCAACTCCAGGATTTATTTGCTAAAAGTCATCCAAAAATGTATATATAGATTTAGATAGAGAAAAAAAGTCAATAAACTTTGCTTTCATTACTCATTGGACTCTCTTTACTTCTTCTTTACTTATTTTAAAATTTTAATATTTTATTCAACATATTTCAGTTTAACTTCCGTAATTCATGTATTTCAGTTTAACTTCCATTGATTTGTAAATACCGATATTTACCATACCAAACTTTGTGTCCAAATTACAAAATATCGGTATTTAGTATTTACAAATCAATGGCCCAATCAGGCCCATCTATGAAAACCCTAATTCACTTTATAAATTTCTTGCTTTACCTTTTCTAGGGTTTCAGCCACCAGACACAAACAGAGAGGAAAAATGCCGGCGGGACACGGAGTGAGAGCGAGAACAAGAGATCTGTTCGCAAGACCATTCAGGAAGAAGGGTTATATTCCACTCTCCACTTACCTCAGAACCTTCAAGGTCGGCGATTACGTCGATGTCAAGGTTAATGGAGCTATCCACAAGGGTATGCCGCATAAGTTCTACCATGGTCGTACTGGTCGCATCTGGAATGTCACTAAGCGTGCCGTTGGTGTTGAAGTCAACAAACAGGTTTGATTGCTCAAAAATTTTAATCTGTTTGGAAGAGTCTTGATTGTTGAAATTAGGGTTTGAACTTGATTATGATTCTTTGCTTTGGGGTTTAATTCGTCTTTGTGTGAGCTATCTGTTTGAATTTTGAGATTTGGGATTGGTATTGCTTCGAAAGATTCAAGCTTTTCTTCTTGGGTCCTTTTTTTAGTGATGTTACACTTTGTTGTAGACTTGTAGTGGAAGCTGTCTCTTTGAATGTATTTTGTTTATGATTAGTGTAATCTCTTGAAGAGCTAATTTTGTGTGTTGGGTTGGGTTTTTAGATTGGGAACAGAATCATAAGGAAGAGGATACATGTGCGTGTGGAGCATGTGCAGCAGTCAAGGTGTGCTGAGGAGTTTAAACTCAGGAAGAAGCAGAACGATGTGCTTAAGGCTGCAGCTAAAGCTAGAGGAGAGACTATCAGCACCAAGAGACAGCCTAAAGGTCCTAAACCGGGTTTCATGGTTGAAGGTATGACCTTGGAGACTGTTACTCCCATTCCTTACGATGTTGTCAACGATCTCAAGGGTGGCTATTGAGTTGTTTCCATTTTTATCATTCTCTGCTCAGAATTTTTGCAGTTGCTTTGTTTTTTTAATTATGTTTTTGTATCAAACAAGACTGATTTCTATATGGTATGAGAGTGCAGTTCAGTTTTTTGTTAGAAGAGATGGTTTGTGAAATCATTTGCTTATTGCTTTCGTTTGTTTGTGAAATCATTTCTGCATTATCCAGAAAATGAATCCTTAGTAGAACTTGAGACATTTTATCAGTTAAACATGGAAAAGATCAATGTGTTTCAACACTTTCTCACGCACGCCAACCGTTGTCCCAACGCATTTTCACAGAGGAACGATTGTTCAATTCATGATTGTGTGCTCAGCTGCGCAATGGTTATGCAATGGTTACACCATCTGCGAAATACATCAACCATTGCTCTTGTAACTGTAAATTACTACATTAGTTTGAAGTTCCCTGTAAAATTGGGTGCTTTTATCATAGATGAAGCCAATAATATATCACAGTTCATTACACATTTCGCTCAAAAAAACGACTGCAATGTAAGAAAGAAAAGCAGAGCAGAACATCAACTATCCAACAAATAGCAACGTTTTCAGATTATACCCACAGATCAATGCAGAACATGACTAGCGATCAATACAGAACATGCCTAACGTGCTTTACAATCTGATTGCGAGGCTGGAACCTCGGAACTCAAGTGCTTCAATTCAAACTGGTCAAGATAGAAGAGAAACATTTGAGAGAAAAAAAGAAGAGATGACACACAAACACACTGATAAAAACTCACCTGATAATCATTTTTAAAAACATAGTATATGGTTAGGAACGGAAGACGTCATGACGAAACTCCATCTCTGGCTGAAAAACTCACGGGCTTTAAAGATAAAAGTGACTGAAACCGTCTAAACACAGTCCAAATGACGGGTTCTCTGGCGTATGAAGGTGGTCTTCGATTTTGGTTTCAAGCCTCTAGCAACTAGCTTCTCAACTTAAGCAAATGATCAAAAAATCTCTAAAATCTCTGTTTTTATGTTGCACTTGATGTAAAACAGTTTTTTTTGGTGAATAAATTTTACATTCATACAAAGAAAAAAAAACTCACCTGAAGATTCACTAATTCATATTCTCTCACCTTCTCCAATCTAATCTTAATTTGGAGACAGAATTCTATTCATGGTTATTCCTTCTTGTGTTTCCATTAAACTACATCAAGAAACTGAAGCAAATTTTATTTATTTCCATTAGCAATTGAAGCCACAAAAAACAAAGAGACCAAATCGAAACAAAAGCTCACTCAGACAGACTTATCAGCCCAACGGCTCGAAATAGCCACAACAGAGCCAACCTGACTAGCAAGAATAACCATGGCTGGTGAGGCACACTTGTGAACAGTTTCATTTAGTAAGCCGAGCACTGCACCAACCAGCTCAACAGCCGAACCAAACCATATCCATGGCATAGCCAGTGGAACGTTAAATATTTTCACTTTCTTCACGCAATCATCTTCTCTTCCTTCATCAGATCGAACAGTCTCAATGAGTAAGCCGAGCATTGCACCAATCATCTCAACCACCGAACCAAACCATAACCATGGTAGAGCTAGTGGAACATTAAATGTTTTCACTTTCTTCACACAATCATCTTCTCTCCCTTCATCAGATCGAACAGTCTCAATGAGTAAGCCGAGCACGGCACCAATCAGCTTAACCACCGAGCTAAACCATAACCATGGTAATGCCAGTGGAACATTAAACGTTTTCACCTTCTTCACACAATCGTCTTCTCTTCCTTCCTCATATTGAACAAACTCAGAGAGTAAGCCAAGCACTGTACCAATCAACCCAACCGCTGAGCCAAACCATGACCATGACCATGGCAAAGCTAGTGGAACCTTAAATGTTTTCACCTTCACACAATGATTTTCTCTTCCTTCACCAGATTGAATGCTGGTTAAAACTTTCTCAACCTCCTTCACGACCTTCTTGATAAACTTGGCCTCGTATCTGTCAAATTAGAGACGAAACCCACTATTTACATAATGCCAGGAATGTAAATAGTGGCAGAAATGTTTTTTTAAATAATGCCAGGACGCAAAAATCTCCTTACAATAATTTTTAATTTCGTATGATTGATTTACAGTTTTTGGAGGTGGAGTGTAAAATTGCATAAATTAGCTAGTTAAAGGTTTTTCTTTGCACAAAACTTAATCAATTAATTGACTTCAACTTAAGTATTATCAAAATTTAATTTAGTTGAACTGAATGTAATAAATTAATTGACTTCAACTAACTATTAACAAAAAAATTATTTGAATAAAATCAAATAGCATATTAATTGACATTTTCTACTTTCTAGTTTTAATTTATCACATGATGATGACTTTTCTAAACTGAAAAACCCTCACTCATATTGTATAATTCCTTTTATGAGAAATTGAGAAAATTTCTACATTATATTTTAACATTATTCAAATATTAATATATAAATTTCAATAGTAATATTAAATATATATAAAATGTTTTTTGATAAACCATGTAAGTTCCGGAAAATTGACCTATAATATTATTCGGTGGTCAGGGTCGGGCGTTGATCTATTTTTTTCACATAATCATTATTGTCACTACTTAAGATTATGTGTAAAAAAATTGTTCCGCGGTATACCGCATGTTAAATCATAGTAGTGATTTATAATAATTAATTAGTTACTAAAAATAATGATAGTTATGATTTATACGTAATTTATAAACCTGAAAATGTTTTAGATTTCCGAGAAAAGTCGATCTATAATCTGATCTAATTCAGATTCTCTTGGAAACAATCAAATCTTAAATAAAAAAAGCCTCGACGCATTGACGATGATGGTGATGATGAATCGCAGAAGAAGAAGGGAGATCCAAGGGAAGGTGAATCGAAGAAGAATTGTAGATGTGTAAATTGGCGGCCATAAGTATGGATGTGTAATTGTAGAAGAATTAGGTTAGGGTTTTAATTTTTTCGGTTAACCATTCGGTTCGGCCGAATCGAACCAAAAATCTCGGTTAACCAATCCAAAATTAAAACCATTCCGATCGGTTACACCTAATAAAGAGAAACCGAACCGATTTGCCCAAACCTCGGTTCGGTTCGGTTCGGACAAATCGGTTCGGTTCGAATTCCCAGGCCTACCAAAATAGCTCAAAGCGGTACAAAATAGTTGTAAGAGAAAATGGTACAAAAAAGGCTGAGTATTCTTTTGCAATTGGTATCGGTTTTGTGGTTGGAAATTAGTAAAACGGTATATCCCAAAACCGCTATTTCACAATCTTTATGAGCGTTTCTGTTCCATTCCAAAAAATTACACCATTTTTGGTACAGCACTGTTTACCAAAATACAATATTTTTTTCTTTCAATTTTGGTTAGTTGTTCATGTTTGGATGCAACTCTAAATAATTAGGGTTTCTATACCGTACAAGTGGAAATAAGTTAGAAAAGAGTTTACTTACCTTTTGCGATACAACGTGATGCCAACCTTGTTGCACACAGCCTTCAAAGCTACTTGCCATTTCTCCATCTCTTCGCGACTGGATTGATCTGCGTGACTCCAAAACCTATCACCAAACACTCCCTCCTGTAGCTCCACGTCTTTCGGTTTCACCTTGTAGAAGATTGGGATGACAATCATTTCCATTTTCTCTGCTTGATCCATGATTTTCGTCAGCTCATCCAAACACCATTTTGATTCTGCATACCTATTTGACAATAGTAATATTTTCATATCCATGTCTATTTCCATTATATATATTTTGTATCCTCACAACACTATAGAAAAAAAAAAGTTACTAAATTCATCATATTTGGAACAATACCTAGTGGATAAGATGACCAGTGCGACCGTGGCCTCTTCGATCCGTTTAAAGAGATGTTTTAGGTCTCTGCCCTTTTGTTCATGTGTATCTATGAAAAAGTTGATATTGTGTCGTTTCAAAGCATCGGTAAGGTGACTGACGAAGCCGTAGCGAAGATTTCCCCGGAAGTTGATGAACACTTGATGGATGGGGCGAGATAGGGTGCCCATCGATCACGGTTTATCTTTCCAAAGAAGTTCGAGGTGTTGGAGTAAAGACATGGGATTAGATCTTTTTATATTGAGTTCTCAAATCTTGACTGGTCTATGTATTAATAAAATCCCAATATGGAGTGAATATAGGTCGGTACCACAAGAATCATTCCAAAAATATATTTAAACTAACAACCGAATTCAGGTCGACATGCCCGTCCTACATTATATAAAAAAATCAAGTCTGTATATACTATATATATATATATATATATATATATATTGTATTTTCTTTTAGGTTAGGCTGTGATTGGTAACATGTGGTATCTATGATTTACTTTGAGTTATGGATGTAATTCATAGTTAAGTCAAAAATGTTGTCAATCATGAATAAAACTTAAACTTATCTTTTAAGTTAATGATGATGATTATGATCATAAGTTGTAATATGATATTAATTAATTATTGATTCTAATTTAAAATGATACTGAGAAATGTGCGAAAGAGACACACAATGTCGGTGCAATTTCATAATTAAGTCTAACTAAATATGAAAAAATATCAGAAAAAGAAGCTTCTGTCGAAAGTGTCGAAAGGAATCCCCAATTTTGCCTTGGATATAATATATAGTTAATTTTTGTTGATTTTTTAATGGGAAAACGTCCTATTTCTCCATCAAAACTATTGCATCGTATCAAATGCAGCCCAAACTTTGACCCCGTCCCAGATGTCGCCGAACAAATGTTTCTCAATCTATATCTCCCCAAATCGAAAGTTCTCCTCTATTTCCCCATAAATCTTGGTTTAAACGGTTTACGAACCAAACCCGATTGAAAATCAATGAAACCCGGTATAAAACCCATTTTAAAACCAGAGAAACCTTTTAAACCAAACCCAACATCATCTTCTTCCCTTTAAAATCGAAAATCCCCAAATACAAAAATTTGTGAAACCTAAAAATAATTTTGGGACAAATTGATCTTTCTCAATCTCCGCTACATTGAAATTGACCATCCCATTGAAACTGAAACTAAAATCTTGTCAATCAGAACTTGTTTGAAATCGCTACTTCGCCATTGTTGCTAAATGAAAGATTTAGATTTCTTCGAATGGTAATTTCCATCTCATGAACGACAACGACACCTCGTCAATCCCATCAATCTCAGAATTTTCTGTAAAATTCAAGAGTAGAAGAAGATTCAACTTGTATTTCATGGACCATAAGGTCTTGCTTATATACAACTTTACGACATTGTAAACCCTAGAGAATAAAGGAAACTATACAAAATAGATTTGGTAATATCTATATACGATATCCCGAGATATCCTCAATACCCCCCCCCTTAAGTTGGAGCATGTAAATTTTGAATGCCCAACTTAAGTAGAAATGCATCGAATTCTCGTCGTCCTAGTGCTTTAGTAAGTATATCCGCAAGTTGGTCTTCGGTAGGCACGTGAAGAGGCTTGAGAACACCTTTGACTATCTCATCGCGAACAAAATGACAATCCCGTTCAATATGTTTAGTACGTTCATGAAAAACCGGATTGCAACTTAGATGAATAGCCGCTTTATTGTCACAACGGATCGTCATAGGGTCGGTATGATCAAAGCCAAGGTCTTGAAGTAATTCTTTAAGCCATTTCAATTCCTTAGTAACCTCATTCATTGCCCTATATTCAGCTTCAGCGGAGGAAAGAGACACAACGTCTTGCTTCTTAGTTTTCCACGAAATAGGAGAGGAGCCAAGCTGGACAAACCAACCTGTGAGAGAACGACGGGTTAATGGGCAAGCAGAATGATCCGAGTCACACCAACCGGTGAAGTGCATTGGTGAGTCTGCCCGTAGGAGTATTCCTTGTCCGAGAGTGCCTTTGAGATAGCGAACGACTTTTAAAGCAGCAAGCCAATGTTCCTCCCTTGGATTCTGCATATACTGAGATAAAATGTGTATCGCATAAGTGAGGTCAGGACGTGTAGCAAGAAGATAAATTAAACGGCCAACCAAGCGACGGTACGTCTGCGGATCAGCCAACTCCGGACCATTAGCAAGAGATAAACGATGGTTTTGGTCAATAGGAGACCCCGCAGGTCTGCAACCAAGAAGACCTGCCTCCATAACAATCTCTGTAGCGTATTTCCTTTGACACAAATAAATCCCAGCCGGACTGCGGGCCACTTCGAGACCCAAAAAATATTTCAAAAATCCCAAATCCTTCATGTGGAAGCAAGTAGATAAATAGTTCTTGAATGTCTGAATTTCCGCAGGAGAGTTTCCAGAAATAATCAAGTCATCAACGTAGACAAGAATACGCAGAGAGATACCCTTCTTAGAATAGACAAACAATGAGTAATCGGACCGAGTCTGTGAAAATCCATACTTGAGAAGAGCATCCACCAATATAGCAAACCAACAACGAGGGGCTTGTTTTAATCCATAAAGTGATTTTCGGAGACGACATACCCTTGTATCACCAGCAGAAGAGAACCCTTGTGGTACTTTCATGTAAACCTCTTCTAGAAGATCACCATGAAGAAAGGCATTGTGAACGTCCATTTGATGAATTTCGTGATTTTTCTTAGCAGCATAATCAAGAAACATACGAACTGTGGTCATCTTTGCGACAGGACAAAATGTTTCCGTGTAATCAATACCTTCTTTTTGGTGATTTCCAAGAACAACAAGACGAGCTTTATGTCTTTCAATCGTCCCGTCCGATCGGAGCTTGATGGTAAACACCCATTTACTACCAAGAGCTTTCTTGTCCGGTGGTAACTCTTCTAGATCCCAAGTATGATTACGTTGTAACGCATCCATCTCCGATCCCATAGCATTTTTCCAGACCTCATATTCCATAGCTTCGGCAAAAGAACGAGGTTCAACATTGGCGGTAAGAGATGCCAAGTAACTTCGATGCTTAGGAGAGAACCTATCACATGAGATATAATCAGAGAGAGGATAATACGGACCTGAGGATGGCTGAGTGGAGGATGACGGAGAAGAGAGAGGGGGAGGAGGAGCAATAGAGACTGTGCCAACCACATAATCATGAAGACGGACATTAGGTATTTTTGGTCGTTTCCCTTGACCAAGACTTTCAGCTGCCGGTGCGGTGACACCACCCGTATTTTCTGTGACAGCAGGAGTTTCTTTGGCCAAGGCAGTCTCGGACTCTACAGTTTTCTCTGACTCGACCGGAGCCGGTGTAACCGCAGCCGTGATTTCAAGAGAGTCCGTATCATCGTCCAGAGGAGCTGCAAGTAGTGGAGAAGATACCTCACCCGTGTTTAATGGTGGCAAAGGTGAAGTAGAAGTCGACAAAGGAAACACATCTTCTTGAAATGTAACATCTCTTGAAACAAAAAATATTTCCCGGTCCAAATCGTATAACTTCCATCCTTTCTTCCCATAAGGATAACCAAGAAAAATGCAACGACGACTCCGTGAAGTAAACTTGTCACCTTTATGATCGATGTTATGAGCATAGGCTAGGCATCCAAATACCCACAAGTGTGTATAAGAAGGAGTGTTTCCATACAACTTTTCAAAAGGAGTCGCACCTTGGAGCAAAAGCGAAGGTGTACGGTTAATAAGATAGCCAGCGGTAAGGATACATTCGCCCCAATAGTCAATAGGAAGATTAGCATGAAACCGTAGAGCCCGAGCAACATTCAAGATATGACGGTGTTTACGTTCGACCCGACCATTCTGCTGTGGAGTATGAACACAAGACGTCTCATGAACAATTCCTTGTTCTTCAAAAAAACGTGTAAGACACATGAACTCACTTCCATTGTCACTGCGGATAGATTTCACCTTTTTCGAAAATTGGCGTTCTATTAATGCCAAAAATTCACGGAGATGTCTCGCGACCTGAGTTTTATCGGGAAGAAGATATAGCCAAACGGCTCGAGAGTGATCGTCGACGATAGTCAAGAAGTAACGCGATCCACAGAATGCCGTAGTACGATATGGTCCCCATAAATCAACATGTATTAAATCAAAAACTGCTTTTGCATTATTAGAACTGTCGGGAAAAGATTGACGAGTTTGTTTTGACCGTAAACAAACGTCACAACTCTTAAATAAATGCTCACTACTAGTATTAGAAACACCACGAAAAACAGGAATCATTCTAGTGACACGAGAAGATGGATGACCAAGTCGATGATGCCACAAAGCCAAATCATCCGCAACCCTTGTCTGCAAAGTTGTCGCCGTCTCGATCCCCCAAAACCGGTACAGCCCCTCTCTCTCTCGTTCACCCAACCCAATCAGCGTCCTCGTAATGCGGTCCTGTAGAAGTAGAATTTTATTAGTGACTTGTCCGACAAGGAAGTTTTCGGTGACAAGCTGGCCAAAAGAAATCAGATTAATATGAAACCCGGGAACCAAATAAACATTATAAAGCGATAATTGTGGAGTCAGTTTAATGGTTCCCTGTTTCGTTGCAATGGCATCGCCAGCAGCTAACGAGACCAAGACCGGAGCAATGTCACGAGTGTCCGTCAAAAGATCAATTTGGCCTGTCATGTGATGTGTTGCTCCGGTATCTAAAATCCAAACATCATTAGCATTCTTACCACTCAGTTGTGTCGTTGTCTTGCCAGTGTTCAAAACTTTTTCAAAAAGCTTCCACTGATCGTCGGTGAGCCCGAGGAGGCCTTGTCTATCGTTGTCAGTGATTTCGGTTGGGCCCGTTGTTGCGGAATTAGCATTCAGGATCTGTGTAAGATTAGCCCGTGGAGAATTGCCACGACCACGGCCATTAGAAAAATTCTGTGGAGGTCGAGAATCAATTCGACTGCGCGGTCGATCACCCCACCATTCTGGATAGCCCACAACTTTGAAACAAGAAGAAGCTTCATGTCCCGTGCGTCCGCAGGCTGAGCATTGGCGAGATGGATCTTTATTTCCTGGTCCAAAACGAGAGGGTCCGTTGAAACTGGTGTTGCGCTTAGTCACATCGCGTGTAAACACCGGAGTTGATCGTGGAGAAGAGTTTGAGCCGGACATATGAGCAGCAAAACCCATCACCGCAGGTTCACTGGTCACATTAGTGCGAATTGTTTCATTCTGCGATACCGTCTGATACACTGTGTCCAAGTTGGGAAGAGGATTAATGGCACAAATCTGGGA